ATTCACCTTCAAGAAACAATGAAAAAGAAAAGAAAAAAAAATGAGAATGCACCGAGAAAAATTGATCAAAATAAAAATAAAAAAAACAAAAATAAAAATTAAATAAACTGAAAATCACAAAAGTAAACTTAAATTAAATTCGATCCGAGGCAGCGGCACCAAAAACTTGTTGTTGATAATTGCAAGTGTACAATATCGTCCAAGTAATATAGTGATAAGTCGAGTGTCGTTCAAACAAGAATCGGATTAACCTAAATTTACTATTGAGATTAACTCCAAACTAAACGTAAATAAAAGAAGGATTACGATGACAAATTCAAATATGCAAGAAACCAAACGAAAGTGAAATAACAATTTATCGAACAAGAAGTAAAAGTGAATGAATTATGAAAAATTAATATATTGAAGCACTAGGACATCAGGTTCCTCATTCTCAATCCCATCTAATCCCGTTATTCATATTAAACTCAAATTATTCCCATGTTGCTAGCAATTATCCCTTGATTCGTCAATATTTCCTTTCAGAATATACTAACTGTGTTTCTAACTATCTACCCATGCTATGTCTAGCCACAGAAGTAGATAATCGAATCCCTTTACGCTAAATGGATAATTTCACAATAAATACTACACAAGTCATAACCAGTATGTCTACTCAATTATGTAATTCATGGTAATTGTTATGAGAAGCAATCTACTAAACTCAACCTGTCAGTCCCAATTTAGTTCTTCACACAAACAATGGCCAGTTATTTGATAACGATAAAGCACAATAACAATTACTCAACATGGAGAACAATCGAGATCAATGTGAAATAATAAGAATTAGATGTTCATGATAAGAGTACACCCTAATCCTAGCAAAAGGACTTAGTTCATGATTAAACTAATGACAAACATGGATGAATTCGATGACATAAAGAAAACCGAAAACCCCAATTCTGGAACCGTGCGCGATAAACCCTAAAACTGCAACCTTCTGTCAAGAGTCCCCCATTGGAAGGCTGTGAGTATGTGTTATATCTCCCCCCTTCCTCCTCTTGCGGCTGCAGGATTCTTCCCTCTTTTAATGTGCCCTTTTTTTCCTTTGAAATCCCCCTCCTCTTTTATTTGTCCCGCAACCTTCTTGGTAAGGGGATTAAAAACCTTCTTCTCCTTGGAATAGTCCAACGCCAGTTTTTATGAAGCCCAAATTGGACTTAATTTGATAAAGCCCAAATTCCAGCACCACTCTCACATAACATCAGTCCACTTCGTTATTCTTTCGTGCTTTCCTTGTAATTCTTCTAAAAAATCCAGTTTTCTCCGAAAAAATAACTTCTATAAAAATCACACAAAATACATCAAATCCAACTGTTTTATATCAAACCATGACTAAATTAATAGGTAAAAGAGATACAAAATATACCTATTATATCAACCTAACACCATGGTCTAAGTTCAATAGGCAAACTGGTTGGGCATGATTCAAAGAAGTTAACACACTATATACCTCATTCCTATGATGGAAGAAGTGTGTTGTTTGCAGAAGTTTTAGGGTGTATATTTATACTTAATGACAATGATATCTTATAAATAAGAGGAATAGAGCAGACTATTCTTAATCAGTGGTCACTTATGTGAGAGTAGAAATGGGTCGCTTCTATGAGAATGAGATGGCTAAATTCTCTAAAGCTCTCATGAATCCGGGATTTGTTCAGGATCAAAATGAACACAACCGTATGAACCGTAATATATTAGGATTAGTGATGTGTGTTGCTTATTGTCTCAGTTTACTGGTGCGGTGAACAGTTCAAGATCTTCTACATCCACTGCGTCACCAAGTAAACCCGATAAGTATTCACTAGGGTAGGTTCAAGTCCAAAAGACACCTCTCCCGATGCATCTCCTGTCCGCATGTACTCTCAAATTCTTCCTAATTTTTCATTCATGTGGGGGATTGTTAGAAATTATATATTATAATATGAAATAGTGTAATATATAATTTTAATAATTGAATAAAAAATAGTGTTAACCAATTTCTTAGAAAGGTTATGTTGTTTAGGTGTATTCCCTTGATAAGTGATGTATACTTATAGATGAAAAGTTACATCTCTTTAATTAGTAGAAATTGGATTCTATATAAACCTATGAAATCATTGGTATTACATATAGAAAATTAGAGTTAATTTTTACTCTTGAGAAATAGGGTTTCCCCACTTTGTTTCTCAAATGATTCGTGTGTCAAATTCCGAGTCGTGTCTTGAGAGTACAGAATATATAAAGTTCGCCAGAATCCGATGATTGAAGTGCTTTGACTTCAAATTATAGATTGTTGAATCCTGGGAGATGGATGCCTATCGAACTACAAGCACAAGAGTATGGGCGAAATTCTATCTTTAGGACATTGCATTTATGCAAGCCTCAATCTCCAAGTTTGTCAGTTTTTCTAATTTTATCTCTAATTGTTTATATTAATCTCATACATAATTGATGTTGTGATTTTCTTTATGAATACTTTCATTGAAATTCTTTTATTATTTTCATATTTTCTAATATTGCTCCAACATAAACGAACCACCTACTGCAAACATTGCTTATGGGCTTGACAAATTTTAACAAATTGACTTACATGTAAGAAATAGAGACCAACCTGCAAATTTTGCTCAACTCAATCAATAAAATTACTAGCCGAATGGAATTTTACCAACAAGTTCTTTTGAACAAGAAAAATAAACATTTTTCAAACTTAACATATGCCAATGGTCCTCAAGCCTTTTATTCTACCACCATCCTAAAATCCGAGAGATTAAGAATAGAAATTAAAAAAAAAAACCTTGTAAAATCAAATAATTCCCTCTATTTCTCATCTTTGAATCCTATCATTCACAGCATTTGTCCACATATTTGTAGCGATACCAGCTCTCAATCTGTCGTTTGTTGCTCTTGAGTGTGATTACTTGGTTCATCGTCATTTTCTTCATCTTCGTATTTATCGTCTTCTAATTCAATTGGAAATTCATCAGAACGACACTCCTTGCAAAGAAGGTTGTGCAACTCTGCACAACCTAACACAAACTCTGCTTGTGTTTTAATTGGAAATGGAGGTGTTGACTTAAAAATTGTGAATCGAAATTGAAATTGTTCAAATACAAAATAAAATCGAGGTAGTAACATAATAAAATTGTTAAAATACAAAATCTATAAAAGTGAAATATCATCATGTAAATAATATATTCTATAAGAAAAATAACTCTCCCTAAGGAAGCCTTCCCATACTTCATAACTAGCCGTGAACTTCTTTGTGACGGGGTCCCAACCAAATCGAAAACTATGCCTAAAAAGCTGACATTGATTGATATCGACCCCTCAAAGTTTTCATATGGTTCTTAATTAACATGATCTTGAGTTTTTTGACACCCAAGTTTTTCATTGAGCACGGGAACAATTATGCCATTAGCATCACGCCATCCATTTTTTTACGACCTGAACAAGTCGTTGCAACAACATGTTGTTCTCTTCCACGGACATTGATTATAGTTTCATTTTCCCTTTTCTTGTTGTGAATCTCCCATTTATAATATTAGATGATACATTATAATTATTTTATTAGTCATACATCTTCTATATAACGAATCAATGCACAAATAAAGACTAAACTACATGCATAGGATTGCAAAGAAGATAAATTGAACAAAATAAATTGAACAGACCAGTCAAGTCTCACCCTAGTTACATTGACATTTTGATCGAATGCTAAAATCTCACCCTTATTTGACATAAAATCAACGGATGCTAAAAGCATGAAAAACAAACACATTCCTTGCAAACAGAAACAAAAAAATTAGGCCAAGTTTTAAAAGACTTCTTCATAAAAAAGAAGGCAATGAAACAAATAATGGAGCGATACTGGAATACGAGACTAAAGGGACATGGCAGGCAATGAACAATCAAAACCATGTTTGTGGATTCCAGTTGATCTTTTGACAATCAAAACCACAAAATATTTCAACAAAACACCAAATCATAAACCCACACGCATATTCAATAATAGGGTTTCAAATCCTAATAAACCCTAAACTAGAAAACCCTAACCCTAGAACAAGATTGTAGTATCCAAACAAGAAAAATCATGAGAAAACATGTACAAGGTAAAAAGTTTTACCTTCAAGCTGCTCTGTTTTTGGAGGAGAATATGCCATCTCTGGAGAGGAGAGAGCAGCACACATAGTTGCTCAAAATTTCTATAGATCTCACCTTGAAATCCACCAATTCACAAATTTCTTCAAATTCAATTCATTTTCCAATACACCTAAATTTTTAGAGACTTTCAAAAAGTCACAATTGAATACACCGATTTATAGGATATTTTTTTTAAACAATTGATATTATCTACACTAAAGGGGAGAGGGTAGGCTTAGTCTCACAATGGGCTAGCAATATTGTGCTTCAAATTCGGGTTTGGCGATAATCAAACCTAAGACCTCTCACTTACAAATGAAGAGGAATATCACTAAACCGTAGTACTAAGTGGTAGATTTATAGAAAATTTTAAAAAGTCTCTAGAAATCTCAATTGAATACACCTAAACTTTTTGGACGCCGAGTGGAACAGCATGGTTGAGTAATTGCACCGCGAGGAGAGCGGATGCTGGCAGCCGAACAGAGCACATGGCAAATTTTGTAATTAGTTTCCAATCTTGTAGTTTCAACATAATGCAAGATAGCAGTGGCAAGAGTGTTTTATTGCACATCTGCAATGAACGCAAACACGATTGATTAATCGAATCCGACAAGAGAAAAATGACGACTTTTAATTAATCTAATCCTATAATAGAACCGTGAACTCATCAATCAAACGGATTTTGATTAAATGTAACTGTGTTTGCGACCGCGTCAATCTAACAGCTACAACTGTGCTACAAACTGCGTTAGCATCACATTGTAGAAAGACTCTTTTCATCTTCTTAAATTAGGATATGACTTGCCAGATCAAGCCAACCTCTAAACCCTAGATATAGATAGAGAAATGCTTTTCTTGCAAGACAAGTCATATACCATGCAAAAATATCTAACAAAAGATTTGACGAGCACAATTACGTATGAGAGTTGGAACTCTTGACAATTGGATCACCACCGCAGTTAAATTCTTTAGCTAAATCTCTCATTTTCTCACAGCCCCTGAATTTTTCTGCAAGTACAACAAAATCCCTTCTTCCAAACTATATGTACTCCACTTTTGCTCAGGTAATACACAACCAGTTTTTCTTTTTAGTTGCTAAGATCATAAAAGATCAGGAGAAACTCGAAAATTCCCAACCTATTTGCTTGTCAATTAGTTCTACTAAGAAACCGAATGCCTCCTATTTCTGGAATGAGTGGATTTCGCCTCTTCAGGATTAGCAGAACCAAGACTCTCGGATGAATCGGAGCCACTGTTCTCACCTTGTACCCCTTTGCTTGACCAAAGCTTTGCAAAAATCTTCTTCTTCGACTTGAGCAACCCTCTCATTTTACTTACTGCCGCCTTGTCAACACTGCTTTTGCTGTCTCCGTTCCTGTTGCACGCTCCCACACTGCTGCTCAGCCTTAACGAAGCTAGCTCTCCCTTTAGGGCCCTAAGCTCCTCAGCCGACGCTACTGCATCCCAATCCTCCTCCGTGTTGGTTGTTGCAGATCTTGAGCTCCCATGGGACCCACTGTTTAAATCCTTCATTCCTTTAGGTAGGTCTGGAGTGCTGTTGCCTGATGAAGCAGCAGCCCTGACTTGTTCAAAAAAGAGTACTTGCACAACTACACGCAACGGGAGTCTCTCATTTTGCACCGCATGCATGCACGCATCAACTGACAGCTTTTTGCAGTCCATCAGCTTGCAAATCCTCTTCCTCTCACTCTTGCTGATCCCTGGGTGCTCCTGCAACAAATATGGCCAAAGTGTGAAACGCATATCCCCTCCAACACTAACAAGATACAACACAGACGCACACTGGAAAACAAAAATTTTATGGCATGAACATATTCCAGCATCGACTAAAATACAACAGAACAGAAAATTGGAAGCCACTTGTTTGCACCGTAACATGAAAAACTTGCATGACATCATGGAAGGCACCAACTCTTCGTCAATCAAATAAAATGTACAATAGCCCTTACCTTAAGGTACATGTCAATGGCTCGGTAAAGTCCATCATGAGAAGGTAGAGAGAAACCTCTCACCATCTCCGCAAGATCAACAAACTTCGACAAGGGGAGGTTGGGATCCTTTGATATTTCAGCAAGATACCCATCTATCAGTTTTGCCACCATCAGCTTGGAAGCATCCGACAAAATTCCTGGCCTTCTCACTTCCTGAAGTTGATTGCCCTCTTCTAGTGATTCAATCTCTGGACTTTGACCTTGCCTTAGAAACTCTTCTACTATTTTTTGGACTACAGTAACATCATAAACTATTGGTTCTCCTTCCGCTGCTCGTATCATAAGATCATTTACAGAAGCCTCCTCCAGTTGCTGCCCTATTCTCCTTACCAGCTCTCCCTTAGTCGTGTCTCCAGAATCCACAAATATAGCTGCTTTCAACATTTTGAGCAAGAAACTACAAGAGACAGTGCCTTTCTCTTCAGGCAACAGCCAGACAATTGCATCCACTGCTGATCGATGCTTTGTCATATCTCCACCCTGGATCATACCTTTGCTGAAACCTGGCAGCCTTCTGTAAGCATAAGCTTTCAAGGCCTCTCCTATTACTTCACCAGATAGTACCCCTTTGGTTTTAATATTTGCTAGAACACGCTTGTATAAATCAATCTCAAGCTCACACAATTCTTCAACCCACCAGTCTTTTGGAACTGGACGATTTCTTACACCATTCCAATTTGGATCATTCCCATTTTCCTCTTGGATCTTCTTCCGGTTATAGGTATAGGACCAGTCAACTTTTGAAATATCCATGCAGGCCTTAGTAGCGATAGAGTCAATGCCATGGCTGACCAACTTCAGTTCCTCAGATATTGGTAAAAGAGACTTCGTAGTCTGAAGAACAATAATGGAATCCTTCCAGCTCCGGAAAATGCTAGAGCTAAGGAAGACATCAATCTTGTATATGAGATTTCCTTTCTCGATAGACTCATGCATCCCCAGATACTCAGCAGCACAGCGAGACACAACAACATTGTAAGCATTGAGGGTGACAGTCATGCCATAACAAAACTTCGCACATATCTCAAAGGCAGCAGGGCCACCAGGAATGTCAGAAATGTAAATTTCACCAGTGTTTGATTCATTAGAGTTTGCAACCCACTTCTGTAAGCGGGCACTCTTTGATAGAAGAGGAAACTGCATAAAACATTATTACTTTGATCAGTATCACAAAACATGTATCTGTAGATATACAGCAGATTTTCACATAAAATTTGAAAATGAAAAGAGTTGTCTTGAGAATCGAGATAAGTTTGCCAAGACTCTAGCATCTATTGAATTTAAAAGCTATATCTATAAAGATCAGCATCTATATTTATCAATGCTCTGTTGGTCTCTGGAAAATAATAATAATTCCTCAAGTGATAAGGAATTTGTCGAGTATCAACAAAGTGGTCCTTAATTAATGTTAACTAGTCATATCCCGTAAGTGTTCAGTTTATTTATATGAAACAAGTTGAGCACATGCAAATTGCTTATAAGCATTACACCTCTTTTATCAATATCATAATCATTATAGCTAAACGTATCTGGATTTGTTCTGGTTGCTTTAAAACATGAGTACTATAAAAAATTCTCGGCTATAGATCCCTCCACTTGAAAATGTAACATGAAAAGTAACTGGGGACCCGTTTATTTCACCAAGAAATGAAAAATACAAGAGGAAACAGTTATTGGCAATCCTGATACAAGATACCATACACAGAAAAATGGACCAGATGATTACCTTATGTAGGTAAAACTTTGAATCTCCAACATTAACAATGATGTCTGTTGCCAAATCAGTTGCGACATACCTTGCATATAAGAATATTTTTGTAGTGTTAGTAAGGACTCTGAATATAAAAGAGTACTAATAAGAAGACCTGCATACTAACACATTAAGAACTCGCAATGAGCAATTGGAAATCAACCTTTTTTTTCTTTTCGAAACATTTTCTTTCCGGAAACCCAAAAATTTCTCCTATAGGATTTAAGATTGGCTTGAAAATCCCTCATTCAAAAGACTGATAGGCTATGGTGCAGCGACCTCATTATACAAAAATACAACTCATACCCTGCATCCATCTTTCTTTTATTATAACATCGCTTTAGCAAGAGATTTAATTTGATTAGCATTTCTACATTTTGTTTACATTAGACACAACTTTGTCATTTCTTACAATATTATCCTGGTTTAGTATAACTTATAAGCTCACAGCCTCTTGCATCCTTAAATTAACAAACAATAGTTTATGTAGATGTGAATAACAAATGATGTGTGGTGATCTACTAATAAGAGCTACAATAGCACCAATAAATACTAGATTGACAACAGCTCAGATTTGATAATGTCAATGATTCAGAGATTCCAAAAGAATTGATCATAAACCAAGTGACACACTGAGAGATTCAATAAAGGTTTTCTTGAGGAGGCCGCAGAAAGAGAACTAAGTTTTCGTGAACCAAGAAAAAAATAAAGTGTCAGCAAGTTTGATACCAAGTCATAGAACAAGAATCATTTTAATCAAGAGTGGGGAAATGACGAGAATCGAAAAAAGGAAAAACTTACAGCCCAATTTTAAAAACCAAGATTGTTACTAAAACTTAGTGGTCATAGGCATTATCCATGAGAAGAAATACCCAAAATTCTCTAATTAACAGAAAACCATTTAAAAGTTATGCAAAGGAACCATACTTCGAGGTTTATGCAATCGGAATTACTATGCATGAAACACAATAGCGAAAAACATGATTCAAATTAATAACTGAGGTAAGAGGTAGAACACAGTTTACAAAGAAGGGGATACAAGATCTCACCTAACATTATTTTCATCAGTTTGAAAAGAATCCGGCTTCGATCCAAGTTTCATAAACTTCATCTTGACAACCAACGGTCTGCTCCTCTACTTCCTTGAAACAAAACTACCCCACTACTCAACCTGTCACTGCTTGATCAAATACTTCACACCAAGACCACCACACAAACCCAATAAGAATGCATCTCTATCGAGGAAGAGTTGCTCGAAATGGAAAGGAAGACTCCACAAGTGGGGACCAGAGAATCCAACTTCCTGAGCTCCAAGAGAGAAAAGAAGGATCTCAAAGAGTGGGGGGAGGTTATATCTATGAAAGGCGGGGTATGACCGAATCTTGACAGGGACCAAGGCAGTCTAAGAGAGAGAAAGAAAGGGAAAGAGAAGATGGGGTTTGTGCAATTATTTAAGAAAAGGTTCTCTTGAATGGCAAGAGAGCCAAAGAAGAGGGTGTTTCCTTGGTCGGCGGCAAAGCCCAAGGAGTCCGGGCGCACCAAGTCAGCGGAGGGGACATAACCAACAGACTCTTAAACACTAAACAATTATCATACACCAGAGACACTCACAAGCACAAATCTGACTCCACCACACTCCCCCACTATTTCTTAATCTTTCTCTTCTGATTACTCTGTTTCTTTGTTTTCCTCTTTTAAAAGCTAATTAAAGATTCATGCCACCAAGACCTCTTTGGACGCCTTTAAAGCTTCAAGTTCCAAACCTAACATGTACACATCAACAACACCTATTTTCTAGATTATTTTTTTACCCTTCAAGTTTGAAAACCTGCAACTGAAACAGCATCTCGGTATCAGTTGAAGAAACCACCAAAACGGTAGACAACAAGCATCTCTTTTTATTTGGGCAAAGCATGGGAATAAATGAGCAAAAGATCACACACAAAATATAAAGTTATTATAGTAATGGACAACCAAACATCAACTTACCAACAAAAATAAAATCATTACAAAATTGGGCTCAAATCTGAGGAATCTACCAGAATATATCATGGAAAATCTAGTTAAATAACGAGGCAAAAGATCATATATTATGCTCCTAAAGTACAAAGCTTTAAAACCCCACATGAAGAAATAAGCAAAGAATCTCAAAGGGCATAAAGAAATAGGGAAATAATCAAAAGGAAAGACCCCCCAAAATCCACTCCCCGTGTAAAACCTCACAAAAACCAAGACCCCATTTCATCAAATCTACAGAGCTATACAAAAACTACCAACAAATATCACCCACTTGCAATTTGAAAACCGAAAAAAACCCAGTTCATGTTTGAGTGCAATCAGCCAACACCAAGCCTAAAAACCCAAAAGAAAAACCAGAACCACAGAAAGTGGAGAGAGAGAGAGAGAGAGAGAGGGACTCACCCAAAATCTTACGCCATCTATTCAAGTTTTTTGCTTGAGGAATCAGGAGGAGTTTTCAGCGCTCAGAGGAACAGTAACAAGAGACCAAAGGGCGAGGCTTTTGTATGCTGCTGCTGCTGCACAAGCATTCAAGTCTTGAGAACCAAACCCACCACCAAACAAACTTCACGCAAGTCAGGAAAACAAAAACCAAAAGGGCAAAAAAAAAAAGATAACACGAAACTCAAAAGCACCCAGCTGTTTAGTACTACTGAGTTCCAAAATCTAAAGTTTCCCCATCTCCCAAAATACTGAAATAAAACTACCCAAGTGCGAAAAAAGCAAACTTGACAATACCAAATGCATGATTCAATCATCAGGAGCAAGGTATAAAATATCGATGATATAAGAAATATCGATAGTCCAAAAATACAGAAATTTCGATAGAAATGTCGGGATATTATCGATATCGATAAAAATTAAATAAAAACTACGAAAATTGTAAGAAAAACTTGAAAATTTTTATTGAAACTTTGCAGGATGTTTATTTAGTCAATTATCTATTAGTATATTACAAAAAAAAATTGGAAGGAAATGCATTACATGATGGATTTAACTGATTTAAGTTAATTATATAGCGAGCTGGCAAATATTGTGAGTGTAGAAAATATGTAGTAATTAATGAAAGAAGTTTAAACACACCATAATCATTTATATATAGAGAATTAGTACAATATTTTACCATTTATACATTGCATGGTAAAATACATGAGTGACTTAGTACCACATAGAGTTCCTATCAAGGTCTAAAATATCGATGATATCGAAAATATCAGTAATCTAAAAATACAGAAATTTCAATAAAAATATCAAAATAATATTGATATTTTAGACCTTACTAAGGAATATAGTACCACTTTTCCTTTTAGCACGCAGAAAATGTTTTTCCTTTTCCCGTTCTTTTCAGTTTTGCCCTACTTTAATTTTAATGAGAAAAAAAGGTAGAGAGAGATTCATTGAGTTTGGGGGTTGCATAATTAACACACTCACTCACTTACCTCGCTCGTTCACTCACCACCTTGCACAGTAAAGCACGCCAAAACTGACAACTCTCTCTGCTTTTTTTGCTGCCCCCATAACGCGGACTCCTCTTTATTAAATGACCCTTGCGCCCTAAAACTAAACCCGCAAAGGCCATAACTTGCATAGTGGATGTGTGTGGTCAGTCACGGTGTGGATGTGTGTGGTCAGTCACGGTGTATCCGTACCATACAATTTTCTTTATGCGTTCATGTCTATATCATACAATTTCTTTTGTTCATCATGCGTTGGTGTTCATGGTGAATGTGATGGTGATTGCATTAGAAATTCAATGGTCATGTTCTAAAGGTAGCTTGTTACATGTCACTATTTAATTTGGATAAACTTTATGTTGTTAGACAACTAAAAATTTCTTTTAATTAAATGGAAATAAATTTTCACACTTTACCAAAAATAGTGGATGTGTGTGGTCCGTCATGGTGTATCCATACCATACAATTTTCATTATGTGTTCATGTCTATATCATACAATTTCTTTTGTTCATCATGAGTTGGTGTTCATGGTGAATGTGATGGTGATTGCATTAGAAATCCAATGGTCATGTTCTAAAGGTAGCTTGTTACATGTCACTATTTAATTTGGCTAAACTTTATTTTGTTAGACAACTAAAAATGTCTTTTAATTAAATGGAAATAAATTTTCACACTTTACCAAAAAATACAGAATGGCATTCTAGGATTCATACCGCTAACCCCACTTAATTAATGGAAAAAGGCTTTGGGGTCGTTTGGATGTGCTTTTAAAATGAATGAAAGCGTTTTTAGAAAAAATATTTTTGGGTTTCAAAAGCACTTTAAGTGCTTTCTGCAAAAAGCATCAATTATGTGCTTCTTCCAGGAAGCATTTTAAGTGCTTTTTCAGGATTTACTTGCATATTTACTAATGATTGGTTCTAAAAATATTTTCACTAAAAGCGTTTTCAGTCATTTCAAAAGCACATCCAAACAAGTTCTTTGTTGTTGTACCAAAAAAAATGAGAATGGATTATACTTATCTTGCTAATTGGAAATTAATTATATACTTATCTTGTTATTTAAATTCTCAATTCCAGGGGGTGCTTTGCACATATAAGTTAAGTAAATTACAAGTTTGTCCTGCAATGCGAACAATATCAAAGTTTTGGAAAACTGGTGTGGCGTGAGCTAAAGAGCCTCTAATGGATTAGTGAATGAAAGCTTAATGGCGTGTTTACTAATCCGTAATCAAATTAGGAGGAATTGAATTGAGGAGGAAATGAAATGAGGCGGAATCAGAATCGGATTCTTGTTGAAGTTGTTTACTAAAACTGTCTAGAATTGGAATAAAATTTCATAAAGCTGTTTACTAATTCAGCAGAATCGGAATATAAATCAGTATGATTACTAAAATGCCCTTGTTCCAAGTAATGTAAATACTAAATTGTCCTTGTTGAAAATAAATGATTTTTATGCTATAATTATTGAAAATTAAGTTTATTTATATAAAATTAAATTTATCTTTACAAACTTGACTTTTCTTCCTCCCATCCTCTTATCCCCATCTTTCCTGCACCTTCTTCCACAGAGCCCCCAGTCGACCTCTCATGCCTCTCCGTTTCCTCTCATCCCCATCTTTTCTTCACCTTCTTCCAGAGCACCCCCATTTGATCTCCCATGCCTCTCTGTTTCCTCTCATCCCTATCTTTTCTTCGACTTCCAGAGCACCCCCAGTCTCCCACGCCTCTTCGTTTCATCCTTGCTGCCTTCTTCTTTCCCAGCCCTCACAGCCCTTCCCACCACCCATCATACTCACAGGTCCTCCACGCTCTCCAATCCTCCATATCCTCTTCTTCCCCAGCCCCCACAACCTCCCATATTCACAGATCCTCCCACTGCCTCCCATATTCACATGTCCTCCCACCACCCATGCGACCTTCCAATTTGGGTGGATTTGCAGAAGACGAATTTAGAGGGTAATTTAGGAACAAAAGTCTAATTCCTGGAGGACAGCAATACAAGGAATTCAATTACCACCTGTTGCTAGAGAATCCGACTCCGGGAAATTCCGAAGTGTGATTCCGGAATTCAACTGGGCCCCACACGATTTTTTATTCCTCTCACGTTAGTTAACACCGGTGTAAGCCGTAATCGAAATTCAATTCCGTTTCTTGATTCCTATTACCCTTACGTAAACGCGCCCTAAGAAGAAATATGAGTGCCAAAGAACTTATGTATGATTTATAGGTTACTTGTAGATACCTTTAATAATGATTGAGTTTGGTTTCTTATTTTGTTTTTAGTTAATTCGTCGAATTCGGTACAATTATTCAAAATTTAAGTGAAAGACTAGATTTATTATCTCATGTTTGCTTTTCATGGAAAAATACCAAATTGGAAGCGAAGTGTTTCTTCAAACAATAAGGAGTTGGATCAACTATTTAATTAAATTAATTAAAAGGTGGTGCTATTCGCAAATCCTTTATTATATTTCACACACTTCTATGTTAATTTTTGTCCTTTAGTCTTTTTTAATTCATTCGATCTAATGGTAGGAACTTAAGAGGGTGTGTGAAAGTTAAAAAGAGATGTAGGGATAGCACCACGCTAAATGAAATTGAGCATGTTTCCCAACTCTTCTCGAGAAAACAAGTAGGCTATGCAAAATTGTGCTCAAATCCATATGCGACAATTCCGCCAAGATCTGTTCTTTAGTTGGGAGAAAAATCCGAACAAATTGGATTTCTTAAGGAACATATCGAGAGAGAATTTGTGAGACAATGTGTGATCGTTAAATCGGTTTTTAGCAATGTACGACAAATTTCATGTCATTGTTCAACATTGATGTAAAAAACTAGCAATATGTGCGAATTTTTTTATCTTCAATTATGTTTGTTATGTAAACAAATTTTGAGAATTTATGAGAAAATTACTAACATTTTTTCAAGTCATTGTTGGATAGTGATCTTGAGACTGAAAAATTTTATTGTTCGGTTGAAGAACGTGACAGGAAGTTTTTCAAGTCATTGTTGGAAAGTGACCTTAAGACTGAAAAAATTTATTGCTGGATTGGAGAACGTGATAGGATTGAGTAGCAATCATATAATCATTTTGAATTACAATAGTAGTTATTGAATTCTTTTGATTGACTTTTTTATTTGTACCTAAACTAAACGTATTTACATAATTTAGTTTAGCTAAAAGTTTTTGTAGAGTTGATATTTAAATGAAAAAAAAAATCAATTTAATAGAAAATGTTAGGGATATCATATTTTTAGACCATATCTTGTAGATCAAATGGTGTGGTGGCTGGTGGTTGGATTCGTTCTCTAATGATTTAAAGAAAAAATCCAATGATCAACTGCAACATCATGTGGTTTACAAGTTACGGTTCAAGTATGGTCTCTCCCAAATTTAAAATGAGTAATGATAGGGAAACCACGTATTTATATACCACATAATATGGCAAGTGATATGTATAAGTCATGTCTATTAATCAATTCATCTAATTGGATAGTGATAAAAATTCATTAATTGATGTGACATGTATTATACAAATGTAGTCTCCCTAACATTTTTCATGTAAAATACAAAAACTTTATAAAAGAAATTGTGATAAAAATTAAACTTTTATGTGGGAAATGGAGATCCAAATTAACTTGGGGACTGTTACAACCAAGTAAGAGAAATACCAACTGATCACTAGGAAAATTTATATTTTTGGATTTGTAAGATGTTAATTATATATAGAATTTCCATCTCTTGAGGAATTATTCTACCATCCCACTTGTATTTTAATATTTCTTTTGGGGTCTTGATAGTGTGTTTCATTTGTATACATGTTCACGCAGGTGCTACCAACTAAGTTCCATGTGAGCAAAAGATTAAAGGAATCAACTCAGTCTCTGATAGGTTTCACGCCAAGGTCATATTCAATGAAACTACGTGCGTATATAAGTAGAGTAATGTGATGTTCTACCATCAGACTTATCTCGTCATACAAATTTTCATATCGTGATATTGTAATCTGAGTCATCAATGTTTGTGTTTGGAATAATGTTATCAGAAAGTAATGTTATATCTTCTTTTTTATATATCATGAGAAGAATATTATATTGTAAGCTGTGTATTTTGTTGATGCACAAAATCAGCGAGGACTTTGGTACAACAGAAAGTGTCAGGTTTGTGACCTTCACTTGGTTGCTTCGATCACTAGTGAAGATAAGTACGTAAATGAATAGGGACAGGGAAGCAAACACAA